GCCCTCGACAATCGCAAGTCCCTCGTGCTTGTGAACAAAGCCTGGGCGGCGGTTGGACTTCCTTTCCGTTGGGAAACGTTCACGACAGATCTGGTACACTCCAATCCGAGGAGCCTACTTGGTCTTGGTCACCCGAATTCCAGTATCGTAAAACACGTTCGTAACATCAACTTGCTTGCGAGAGCCTCATCCTCGAACGTCGATTATCTGCTAACGTTGCTAGCGAAAATCTTACGCGGTCAGCTTCATGGGTTCAAGAGCAAGGAGACGATTCAGGCGTCGACCCTTAGTCTACTCCTGGTACTGCATCCGGCGCTCGAGGTGCTCCATGTACCTGGAGGTGCTATGCTTGGGGATACCCTCCAGTCACCGTGGACGTCGGACTGCTTCTCCAACCTCACCAGTATGGACATTTACGTTGGCACTCAATGGGCGCTATCGCACGCACACCGCAACTACGGGTACTTCGTCTGACCAATCCGCCAAATTATCGCAAGGCGTATAATCGGCCTAATGAAATGTTCCGGTATTATCCTCGCTTGATTCAGAACGGCAACGAACGCTATGGATATCAGGCACGAGCAGATGCCCTCATGAACTAGCTAAGTGGTCTTGGCTCTAATCTCAGGGTTCTCGCGTTCTCTCCCATAGAGAAGCTGAAGCAGCCTGATCGACCAGATAAACATGGCCACACCTGGCCGCACTACCACTACACTCGAGCACGATTTGTAGGTGAGATGGGCATGGAGGGAGCGGTCGCTAGGCCTTTGACAAACCGGAAGGCGAATTTCCCAGGAGCGAAGGTGTTGGGAGATTTGTGAGAGTCAACGTGCGATGACAATCAAGTCGTACTTGGACAACCTGTCGATTCTATCTTTGCGCCGGGTTTGATCCATGTATGATCTAAATCTCCGACGAGCTGCTTGGTTCACAATTCGCTACTGGCTTCACACCAACTGGACAACTCAAAACGATTCTATCAGCTCAAGGGAAATAACAAAGCACATCCTATCCATCAGATACGGGAGAGTGAAGAGACGATGAGTATTTCAACAGATCCGCTAGCGAAAGCGGAGTTGAGATCGAATCTGGACGTTGTTGCCTCAAGAGGTGAGCATACAATGTGTGTGAATGGAGCAGAGACGAAGGATAAGGTTGTTGTATTGAGGGAGCTACAGCGAGCGATTATATATACACAAATGAGCTGAGTAAGCAAGCAATGAAGGGTCACGTGAGTAGAGCATTCACAGTGTATACAGTGCACGAAGGTGCCAGGCTGACACGATGCATGGGTTACGATTGTTTATTTAGCGGAGACGGAGTGCTTGGCAACTATGTACTCGGTCAAAGAAGATGCAGTCGCGTTAGACAGCACACACAACTTGGTCACCCTTAGGATACCCTGATGTCTAATCGCCGTCAACCAGTGTCTTGTACGATCAGCGATCGCCGATGCGTAATTCTGCAAATGTGAAAAGTTTAATATTGTGCAGTCCTGTTAGCGACAATAATCCACATGTTGACTACCGATGACATTGATCACAGGTCAAGCTGAGTGGCGAATTATTTTTGGTGGAAGGTGACAGTGTGTCGCTGCTTATCGATATCGTGGCTTCCACTACGCACCTACCATCCGACAGGCGACCTGTGTCTTCTCCTCACCTTACCGGGAGACGTGGAAGAAGTCAGGTTTCTGCAAAGAACCATAAGTCGAAAGACCACTGCTCCACAAACGCACTTTGAAGCCGCACTCAACGCCATCGCATCGATGCCATTGCTCCACATCCTTCGACTGCCGGACATGGGATAGCGAAACGGTCTTGACCAAAATGGAGCGTTGAGTCAGGAGTTCGAAAGTTCCATCGCAAACGGCATGCAGCGTCAACAGTTTCAAACCCGCGCCGGCGACATTATAAGATATTTAGCAGAAAGAGGGTCTAGGATCAAGATCCTAGCATTCTCGCCTGTGGAACAGATTAGATTCGTGGAAGTGCCGGACGAGAACGATCACACTTGGCCACATTACTTCTACTATTGAGCTAGGCTGACAGATTGTTTGGGAACTGACATGACAGTCGCCCGACCCCTTGTAGAGTGGGAGCGCGACTTTCCATCCCAGTACATCCTAGCTCAACATTTGGGCTGGTAAGAGTATCATTCATATCGATGCTATTATGTTGAGCATGGACTTCCAACCTATCAATTCACATGGATGTAGAGCCATGCCGAAGCTTTTGCGATAGAATTGAAAGACATGGCTCTACTTTGAGGTTCTCCTGAGTGAAATGACTGCGATGATACATATGTTTCAACATCTCTTCATTCGTCTTTCATCAACAGTGAAACTTTGGTCTGCTCACGTCCTTTTGCAGGTGCTACAGCCCAGAAGTTCCTGGTACTTTCACCGTAGCAGAACGCTCTCATCAACTGCCACGGAAGATGAAACAACCACCGCTCCACCCAGCAACTCACACTCCAGTCACATCAACCACGACCACATCTATACAACAATTCGACGTCTTTCACGCCGAACAACCACAAACAGGTGCCCAAACCATGTCTCAAGAACACAACAAAGCCGAATACCAGCGACGGGCTCTGGGTAGCAAGGGTGCAATATCGAATCAACGAGATATCTTGAGCGGCCTATCACTCGAGCTCCGACGTGAAATAGTCAACTTCCTTCGTTCGGAATAGAATCGCCTCGCCCTGAGCCTCGTCAACCAACTTTGGAAGGACACTGTTTTGCCAATTCAATGGGACACCCTAGTCACGGATTTCGCCCAAACCGGCTCGAGGCAACATGTGGATCTTGTACGTCCTGACTCCAACATTCTCAAACACGTCAAGCACCTGCGCCTCAACAAGGACAACCCTCCAGCAAACGCAATCAAGGAGGCTCTACCCCACGTCCTTGCCGCTATTCCGCAAGGGCAACTTCGGAGTTTTGCAGCCTACAACCCTATTGCTCCGCTCACTCTGCAGTTGCTTATGTAACGTCATCCAAATCTCGAAGGACTGGATGTAGCTGGGCGTGCTGCTCTCACCAAAGTAGTGTGCTTGCCCTGGGTGGTGGAAAGTCTCAACAACCTCAAGCGAGTCAACATCTACGTTGATAGCCTTGAGCCCGCAACAACCCAGGCGCTCATGGAACAATGCCCAAATCTTGACACACTACGCATCGAAATGTGTCACTCGGAAGCCGAACACACCAACGCCGATATCTCAGCAGACATGTTCCTTCCCAAGCGTATCCCAAATCATCATACCCACGGGGATCCTGGACCAGTCAAGCAATTGACGAAACTCCGGACGCTTCACTTCGAAAATGGCAGATTCCCCGCGCCGCTGGGCTCCTTGTTCGCACGGATTGATTTTTTGAAGTTACAGTTTCTGTCGATAGACAACACTAAAAACCCGCTAAGGCTATTAGAGGCAATGGCATCATATTATGTGCGGAACAACTCAGCTTTGGTACGTCTGCGGCTAACGCACGGATCGTTTTCGGAAGATGCCGGCGTGCAAGCAACATACCACAAAGTTTTAAACGTAACCCAAGGTTTACGAGGAATATACTTCTTTGATCCGTATTCCGACAAGCTTGACATCGATTCCGTTGTACGACATGGAGCAACACTCAAAGTCGTGTTTGCTGTATCTGCGCATTCCCACGAGTCTCAAGACCAGACTCAGTGCTTCAGCGGAAAGGACTTGTCTCGAATCGCTACATCGTGCCCAAAGCTCGAGCAACTCAGCCTAGACCTCTACTCCTTAGTTCCAGGCAACGTCGACGCGCCAAACTACGACATCATTGGTCGTGCGCCCAACTCTACCCAAGCACCCTCAGAGTTCGAAGTCGCTCTCAACGCGATTGCCAGCATGCCCAATCTCCATACTTTACGTATCACAAATCCGTAGTCGTACTTTGATGACAGCCGCATGGATAAGACCGAGGCAATCCAAGCTGAGTGGCGATACCGGTATCGAGCTCGTGCAGATGGAATCATGAAGTACCTCGCCGCACGCGGATCTGGAATCAAGGTGCTAGCCTTCTCGCCAGTGGATCTTCGGCGTAGGGGTCATGTGCGTGACGCAAATGGGCATATATGGCCGAATTACTGATAATCTCGCGGAAACGTGGATGGGAGCGGTAGGCATGTGGCTGTCGCGATGCCCTTGGCTGATTGGAAGATAGAGTATCCTGGTTCCGAGGTTTTGGAAGACCTGAATAAAGTTTGGTAATTTCTTGTGGAAGCTGCGATTAGACTTGACATAGTCCGCAAAGAGCTCGGGAATGTTTGTATCTTACTAAACGAAAGAATGAAGTAGTACCTGCAATGACGGATGCAAGTGTTGGTGAGAAGGGAGACTCACATGAAGTCGGCACCAGATCACGAGTTTACATGTACCTGCCGACCCAAACAATGAAATGACTCTAGGTATATAACTAAAATAAAAGACCACCGTATAGTTGTTCAAACTCGTAAGCTTGTTCGAAGTCGCGCATCCTGATCTCGTGTCGAAGTTCAAGCTCACACGTACGGGAACAAATGTGAAGGTTCCTCTGAAATTGTTGATCCAGAGTCACCTGGGACGATGTTGACTACTAGCTGCAGAATTCAGTGAGGTTAATGATACCACCAAAGATATGTCGAGCGATTACGAAAATTTGAGATGGAAGAAGACGACTCGCATCCATGGATGAATATAAGATTGCTGAAATATTGGTATGCCCTAAACATAACTATTCAAATAAAACATTGTTCAGTCTTTAAACACAATACGCCAAAGTAAAAGTGCTTAGGATGACGCCTCTTTAGTTCGTCACCAGCCCCGCGCCTGACTCATCTAACCCCACATAGCAAAAAGACCCCTCCATTGTCAACAAACTTCACACCAACATTATGATGATTGACAAACGTCACCTCCAGTCCCTGAATATTATTTGTTATTATATATACCGCCTAGTCGAAAAATTTGCATGAACTCAATGAGAACCGGTCGATTAGCTCAGTTGGTTAGAGCGTGGTGCTAATAACGCCAAGGTCGCGGGTAAGCTCTCTCTACACTTATCACCACCACATTCACATATACTAATCATTACCAGGTTCGACCCCCGTATTGACCATTATTTTTTTTTGCTGTTTTACGCATTCTAGCTGTGAAGGGCCCCATCGTGTTATGTCTACGTGTTCTCTTTTTGCTTCTTTTGAATCTGGATAAGGTTGTCGATGGTGTCTTTGCGGCGAAACGAATGAAAAGGAGTAACGAGCTGCAGAGGGAGTACTACGGGCTGAGGGTATGAGTCCTTTTTGCAGTAATTTAGCAAGTAGGCAGACACACGGCTGATAAAAGAAGACGACTGGCTAGTCTAATAAGTACATGCTAGGCTCGGCATTATTCATAAATGCAGACTAAATACGTGTCTACCTTCCGTTGAGTGAATAGCCTAGTTCTATCAACCGGGAAACATGTTTGAACAGAGACTGGCAAATCATGGAGCGAATGGATTGATGGTGCAATTTTTGACATTGATTTGTAGGTAGAAAAGACATGATGCAAGTATACCCCCCGAAGGACTTTTACATGGCCGTTTACCCATGATCTGATGGCTCATTCGTGCCATATTTGGCTCGCCCAGTGGCGCCATTAACACCATCCATCCTACCACGATGCTCGTATTTGCGCCATAACGCCTTTCATATCGCATCAATTCTCATGGAACTGGCTATAAGATTTAAGCCAACTCTGCTACGATCACTCGCCTACGCCCTCTGCTGGGAAGCATCCAGGGACACTGACGAGAAGGAATGTGCCACATCGACGACTGGGGCAGCTGGCGGCGGACCCTGGCCCGACGGCAACACCTTGTCCACTGCGTTTGTCGACCTTGGAACGGCTGGCGATGGACTCTTACTCTTGCGCGACCCTTTACCCTTCCTGCCCGCCGACGCTGGAGCAGGTGGTGACAAAGTCTTGCCAGTGAGCGAGACTTTGCTCTCCATATCGCCTCCACCCGCAGACTCAGCCGGCCAGTCATAACCCCATCGCCCATCACCCCTGAAGGGTTCCTTGTTGATGAACTTTGAGACATCGCCCTGGTGCCTCAGAATCTCCAGGTAGCCAGCGACCTCGCGCAGTACATCACCCTCCATTTGCTCGGGCGTTGCTTCGAACTCCGGGATCTCGAGCAGGTTGAACGGCTGGGCACTTGCCTTCAACGCAGAGTCGTCGATGAGGACCGTGTTGTGCTGTCCGAAACGCTCGCCTGCTGTATACTCCGGGTGACGCTGCTGAATCTGATCCCGGCTCCAAACCAGTCTCAAGTTCTTGTACACTTGAACATTCTGGGCGTAGTACTTCGATGAGAGACCAAATGTGTCACGGGCCCAGGTGCCCACGAGCATTGATCGGAGGTCCTTGTCAAGCGCCTGGTCGACAAGCGACTTGACGTTTTCCGGCTTCGCACTTGACCAGACCATGACCTTGAAGTTCTGGAAGAGATATTGCAGGAAAGGCCTGAGGTACGGACGGGCGATCATCGTCTTTGCGTTCTTGTTTGGGCGGTAAAGAACGGTGCCGTTGAGATCAAGAATGACTAAGACATGACCTGGCGGGTCGATGACGGTCGGTTCTTCGGAAGCTGTGTCTCGATAGATATCTGTGGGCTGGGGTGCAGGTAGCATGATCTTCTCATCTCCATATCTGCCCTTCTTCAGGCCCTTTGGAGGCGGCGGAGTGCTACTGTGCATCTTGTCAATAGGCGGACAACTAAAATCAAGCGGATCCACCTGGTGGAGGGAGCCATACTCTTGCAATTCTTCCAGACCGTTGGCGGCGGCCTTGGCTTTGGCCTTTGACTTTTTGTTCTTCTTGGAAGGTTGAGTAGGCACCCTGTCATCAGTGTCAGCACTGCGCTTCCTGGACTTCCTTTCTTGAATCAGGACATTGAAAGCGTACTGTATGTCTTCGTTGGTCGCGCCCTGATGCCAGTTCGCCTGCTGCATATTCGCGTAATGGGCGGGATGTGGATAACCCGGCTGGCGTGGCTGCGGATGATTCTGCTGGAAGAAGGGCGTTGGGTATTGCTGCTGGAAGGGCGGCGGGTACTGCTGCGGTGGAAACACCGGCGGTGGCCCATACGGCTGCCTGTGTGGTGGTGGACCTGCATGTCCGTGATTTGGCGCCCACTGATTGAAGTGCGCTCGCGGTTGCTCATGTGCTTGGGCTTGGGCTTGCCCGAACCTATCATAGTGGTTGTTGGTGAAGAACTGCGGAGGCGGAGGCGGCGGAGGGAAGGACGGATTCCATGGCGCGCCTTGGAAACCAAAGGGAGGCATGGGCGGAGGCCGGTTTTCGTTGCGACTGCGATTCCAGTGGCGCGGGTCGTTGCTGCCGCCGCCCGGCTGGAAAGGCATCGCATGCGGGTTCATGTCGTTCATATTGGCGGGTGAGTGGTGGCGGAGGCTTCTCCCGGGCAAAGTGGTGTCTCGACGACCGACTGCGGTCTTGTCAAGGTTAGTGTCAGAAGTTACGACTGGGGAGTCGTGGGGGATGTACCGGGCTGGCGCGACTGTAGACATAGGGCAAACGGAGGGGCGGTCCTCGCTTGGCAGATAAGATGAGGTTAGGGGTGAAGAAGTCGGTGAAGTGACAGCGAGGGTTCTGAAGCATCGACTGCCCTCAGAAATGGTGGTGAAGATTCGCAGATGGCGGCTCACGTGCGGGAGAGGTTGCCTGCAAATTTAGTCAGCGTCGGCGGAGGTACGAAGTAGCGCCGACATGTGGGGGCTTGTCCAAAAAGTTCCTAAGAAGCAACACCACCGCCAAACACACTCGCGAGCTTCCATTCGACAACACGTGTAACTGTTACTTACCGGACAGACACAAAATAGGATACTTAATACAACACGACTGGAGCTGGCGCTTTCTACGCCCTCTCGCTCGCCATGCCTCTCTCCACCAAGCTTGATCGCAAACTAAGAGCAGCAGAAGAAAGTTCGGATGGCGAAGAGTATTACGAAGTCACCGACAGGTCTTCATCGGAATCGGTAATCGAGACTGGTGCAGGCGGGGAAGTCATTAGCTCCGACGACGAACAGGGAGAAGATGAGGGCTCAGAAGACGAGGCAATGGTATGTTTTCGAAAATCGGTAGCTTCTTGGCTCTTAGTTGACAAATTCAAGTCAGACGCCTCACAAGACGACCAAGTCAAAGCACAGTTGAGCAAGGTCTCATTCGGAGCCTTGGCTAAAGCTCAGGACGCCCTCTCGAAAGACCCCGCGAATTTAAAGCGCAAGCGAGGTGACGATACGTCGAAGTCACAAGAGGACAAGCTGGAGGCTCTGCGGGAGCGCTTACGGCAGATCAAGGCCGAGAAGATGGCGAATGGCGCAAAGCCCAGCAAAAAGCCAGGAGGCGCAAAGAAAAGCAAGGTCAAACAGGAGGAGGCGTCAGACGAGGACGACAAAAATGCTGACAGTGACGACACTGAATCGGATGCGACTCCGAAGGCGCGTTCGAGTAAGCATGCGCCGGCAGTACAGTCCAGCAAGCGCATGGTATCGCGTAAGCGCAAAGTGGTTGATATAAAAAAGCCAGTCTTTCGAGACCCACGATTCGACAATATGGGCGGGCCGGCACTGGACGAGAATACGCTGGGCAACCGATACTCCTTCCTAAACGACTACCGAGCCTCAGAAATCGCCGAATTGCGCAGCACAATCAAGAAGAGCAAGAACGAAGGCGAGAAGGAACGGCTGAAGAAGCAGCTGCTGTCCATGGAGTCGCAACAGAAAACCCGAGAGAATAAGGACAGGCAGCAAGATATCATACGCGACCATAGGAAGAAGGAAAAAGAACTGATCAAGCAGGGCAAACAGCCATTTTACTTGAAGAAATGTATGTATTCGTGGCGCCCATTGGTGGGTATCTACTTCCAGTTCGCATGCTGACACGCCTCTAGCCGAGCAAAAGAAACTCGCCCTGATCGACCGCTTCCAGAACATGAAGTCGAAGCAGCGCGACCATGTCATCGAACGCCGTCGCAAGAAGGTCACTGCGAAGGAGCGGAAAAACATGCCTGTCGAGCGGCGTGGAGTATGAGCGCATGATACCAGGCGTGTTTGCGATGGTAAGACGAGCATGGTCAGCATTAGCATGATTTCAAATACCCAATTCAAACGTAAGGTCGCTTGAACAACATCATCCATTCTATTTTGCCTCCGGGCATCGCACGCTCCAGATCTTCAAACCGCAGATGCATCCCGGGATGGCTGCATGGCAATCTGCGGCCCACACAGCTCATTACAGCACTTGCGGCACCAACTTGTCAAGGCCACCCGCCCAAAATGACCGCATACGCCAAAAGGGCATGGCAGCTGCACAATGGCATGCACATTGGCCGTCTTGATCTCCAAGATCCTTGATGGCGGGTGAACTAAGCGGGGGTTCGCGACGGGGACAGGGGTTTCATCCAAGAAAACGAGCCGCTGCACATGTCCACATCGTCAATGTCGACGTCATACCTCAGCACACTGTCTCCCAGCCTCTCCTGCCTGCTTTTCAGGGCGGCACGGCCACATTTATCACGTCGCATCGCATCCCATCTTGTCCATTTCTGACCATCCTTTTCGCTCTTCAAATCGCTTGCACACTAGTCGAGACCGTTTTCGCCGTTGACGTTTGGCTCACGGGTAGTTACGTTCCGCTTAGTCGCTTCTTAGTACCAACGGTCGAACATCACGCGCTATCATCATGTCAGCCGCACCAGAGAAGCCGCTCAATGAGTAAGTCATCCATAAGTCAAATTCTGATAACTTTGCGACCGCAAAATCACCTCCGCGTTGCGAAACCATGGCAAATTTTAGTACATCAATACTAACGCCACACCCCCAGGCTCCTCTCCCGCTCCATGGTCGACATCTACGTCGGCACAGAGAACACACACTGGATCCTCCACGAGAAACTCCTCTGCCACCACTCTCCCTTCTTCCGACGCATCTTCTACGCGAAAAACAACTCCTCCAAGACGTTCGGTCTCCCCGACGAAGAAGACGCGCCCTTCAA